GTGGGAGGCTGTTGAACAGTTTTGGGCCCCGGATACATATTGTGTTTTCTCTTAGTCTCTGACAATAATGTGTGCTAAGGAGAGTAATTTCTTGTATAGCTAACATTCATGTACCTATGTAAGTTGATCCTCTCTTTAATGTTAATGTAAATACCTCAGTTTACATTATTCCCGGTATATCTCCTTTTACTCTGACTTTCAAGATTTAAATAATGAGATATTACAGGGACCTCAAATAAGTCACTGACTTTTTTAGGGGTTATCCCAGGTAATTTACACTATGTATGATAATTGTGCTTGTTTGTACCTGTGTCTAAATAAACTTGCTTACTTAACATAAATGTGCGAACTGAGTATAAAACCTCCGTTTTTTTTCCCTTTTCTTGGTAAGTCTGGCACAGAGAGTATGGGCTCTCTCTACTGGTTTGTACACAGCTCGACCTGACTTCAACAAAACTGGGTAGAAGGAAAATGCGATGGAAAAAATACAAGACAGAGGTAGACAAGAATGACATATAACAAAACAATTACTGGGTTGGAAAAATAAGTCAGTTGGTGTTGCGAGGGAGGAATGTTCGGCAGGTAGTGGTGGTAGTTGTGATATTTACATAACACTTTGACCGCGTATGTCACTCAACGCTCTTACCAATAACAATTATAGACAATACACGCACGCACACGCGCACACGCGCACACACACACACACACACACACACACACACACACACACACACACACACACACACACACACACACACACATAAACTGGAGGACCAAGCAGGGATAACAGGGAAGGCACTGCAATGGATCAGGGAATACTTGTCAGGAAGACAGCAGCGAGTAATGGTACGTGGCGAGGTGTCAGAGTGGGCACCTGTGACCAGCGAGGTCCCACAGGGGTCAGTCCTAGGACCAGTGCTGTTTCTGGTATTTGTGAACGACATGACGGAAGAAATAGACTCTGAGGTGTCCCTGTTTGCAGATGACGTGAAGTTGATGAGAAGTATTCACTCGATCGAAGACCAGGCAGAACTACAAAGGGATCTGGACAGGCTGCAGACCTGGTCCAGCAATTGGCTCCTGGAGTTCAATCCCACCAAGTGCAAAGTCATAAAGATTGGGGAAGGGCAAAGAAGACCGCAGACGGAGTACAGTCTAGGGGGCCAGAGACTACAAACCTCACTCAAGGAAAAAGATCTTGGGGTGAGTATAACACCAGGCACATCTCCTGAAGCGCACATCAACCAAATAACTGCTGCAGCATATGGGCGCCGCAAACCTCAGAACAGCATTCCGACATCTTAATAAGGAATCGTTCAGGACCCTGTACACCGTGTACGTTAGGCCCATATTGGAGTATGCGGCACCAGTTTGGAACCCACACCTAGCCAAGCACGTGAAGAAACTAGAGAAAGTGCAAAGGTTTGCAACAAGACTAGTCCCAGAGTTAAGAGGTATGTCCTATGAGGAGAGGTTAAGGGAAATCAACCTGACGACACTGGAGGACAGGAGAGATAGGGGGGACATGATAACGACATACAAAATACTGAGAGGAATTGACAAGGTGGACAAAGACAGGATGTTCCAGAGATTGGACACAGTAACAAGGGGACATAGTTGGAAGTTGAAGACACAGATGAATCACAGAGATGTTAGGAAGTATTTCTTCAGCCACAGAGTAGTCAGTAAGTGGAATAGTTCGGGAAGCGATGTAGTGGAGGCAGGATCCATACATAGCTTTAAGCAGAGGTATGATAAAGCTCACGGTTCAGGGAGAGTGACCTAGTAGCGATCAGTGAAGAGGCGGGGCCAGGAGCTCGGACTCGACCCCCGCAACCTCAACTAGGTGAGTACAACTAGGTGAGTACACACACACACACACACACACACACACACACACACACACACACACACACACACACACACACACGTAGCGGAGGCGGGAACCATACACTGTTTTAAGACGAGGTTTGATAAAGCTCATGGGGCAGGGAGAGAGAGGACCCAGTAGCAACCAGTGAAGAGGCGGGGCCAGGAGCCAAGACTCGACCCCTGCAACCATAGATAGGTGAGTACACACACACACACACACACACGTACGTTAGGAAGTATTTTTTCAGTCACAGAGTAGTCAGGAAGTGGTATAGTTTGGGAAGCGATGTAGTGGAGGCAGGATCCATACATAGCTTTAAGCAGAGGTATGATAAACCTCATGGTGCGGGGATAGTGACCCAGTAGAGGCCAGTGAAGAGGCGGGGCCAGGAGCTATGACTCGACCCCTGCAAACACAACTATGTGAGTACAACATACACAAACACACACACACATACAGTCTAGGGGGTCAGAGACTACAAACCTCACTCAAGGAAAAAGATCTTGGGGTGAGTATAACACCAGGCACATCTCCTGAAGCGCACATCAACCAAATAACTGCTGCAGCATATGGGCGCCGCAAACCTCAGAACAGCATTCCGACATCTTAATAAGGAATCATTCAGGACCCTGTACACCGTGTACGTTAGGCCCATATTGGAGTATGCGGCACCAGTTTGGAACCCACACCTAGCCAAGCACGTGAAGAAACTAGAGAAAGTGCAAAGGTTTGCAACAAGACTAGTCCCAGAGCTAAGAGGTATGTCCTACGAGGAGAGGTTAAGGGAAATCAACCTGACGACACTGGAGGACAGGAGAGATAGGGGGGACATGATAACGACATACAAAATATTGAGAGGAATTGACAAGGTGGACAAAGACAGGATGTTCCAGAGATTGGACACAGTAACAAGGGGACATAGTTGGAAGTTGAAGACACAGATGAATCACAGGGATGTTAGGAAGTATTTCTTCAGCCACAGAGTAGTCAGTAAGTGGAATAGTTCGTGAAGCGATGTAGTGGAGGCAGAATCCATACATAGCTTTAAGCAGAGGTATGATAAAGCTCAGGTACAGGGAGAGTGACCTAGTAGCGACCAGTGAAGAGGCGGGGCCAGGAGCTTGAACTCGACCCCTGCAACCTGAACTAGGTGAGTACACACACACACAAATTAACAAACAAAACCATGAACATGAACAAAACACTCAACACTAATACTATCATACATACTTAAAACTAACAGCAACAGTTAAAAGTCTCAAAGTTCCCCGATATTCGTACATGCACCTCAGTAATAACAAAGCATGAGGAAGAAGGCGGAGAGGCCTCAGTCATGGACAAATTATTAAAACGTGTTACCCACGCCACAACCTACACACACGTAATGGTTGTAATTATAACCATAATTTTTAAAGAGGTGGAGTGGTAAGCCAGCGTAAGGCCTCCGTAAGATGACCAAAAGCTCCAGGTGCGGGTCATCATATAACAGTGACCCGCATCAGGAAACACTTATCCTGTAAGGTACGGAGTGGGAAGGAATGTAGGAGCACCTGCAGACAGGTAGTTATAGATGAGATATGTGCTCCCTATCCTCAATCTGCAAGGACTCGTCTCAAAGTGATAAGTCCTGTTGAAGAAGCGCCAAACACCCAGGTGCTGCCAGACCACACCATAGGTGGGGATATAACCCGCGGTCACCATAAACTCGTGAATCAGGTGGTGTCAAGGTGGGCCAGGTGATGAGACTTAGTGCAAGGTAAGGCAGCTTGATCATTAAAATGGTATAAAATACCGACAGGTTGTTATGTAAGACACATATGCAACAGTTAGGTATCTTTATTTCGAAACGTTTCGCCTACACAGTAGGCTTCTTCAGTCGAGTACAGAAAAGTTGATAAAAGCAGAGGGACTGACCACCTCAAAACTTTAAGGGTGACGGACTGATTACATCGTCTTCAAGTATCTTCTGCTTCTATCAACTTTTCTGTACTTGACTGAAGAAGCCTACTGTGTAGGCGAAACGTTTCGAAATAAAGATACCTAACTGTTGCATATGTGTCTTACATAAGGCAGCTTAGAGAGTAGAAGGACGCATAATATATAACAATAAAACTTTAGTTTACCCCACAAACACAGAGAATGAGCATACCTTAAGAGTATACCCCCTTATGAACATATACTTCACACCCTCTGGTCTCTCCAGTTTTAAATATCCAAAAAGTGTGATGAGTGAGAGAGTATCAGAGAAGTATGAGGCGAGACACCTGAGGTGTGACTGACAGGTCTGTTAGTGTTAGTTTATTGTCTGGGAAAAACCACCCATTAAAGACCACAAGTGAAAGTAGGACAGCCGGCAGCAGTGACTGGTGACTTAGTGGTGCTGGTGAGCAGCAGTGACTGCTGACTTACTGGTGCTGGTGAGCAGCAGTGACTGCTGACTTAGTGGTGCTGGTGAGCAGCAATGACTGCTGACTTAATGGTGCTGGTGAGCAGCAGTGACTGCTGACTTAGTGGTGCTGGTGAGCAGCAGTGACTGCTGACTTAATGGTGCTGGTGAGCAGCAGTGACTGCTGACTTAGTGCTGGTGAGCAGCAGTGACTGCTGACTTAATGGTGCTGGTGAGCAGCAGTGACTGCTGACTTACTAATGCTGGTGAGCAGCAGTGACTGCTGACTTACTAATGCTGGTGAGCAGCAGTGACTGCTGACTTAGTGGTGCTGGTGAGCAGCAGTGACTGCTGACTTAGTGGTGCTGGTGAGCAGCAGTGACTGCTGACTTAGTGGTGCTGGTGAGCAGCAGTGACTGCTGACTTAGTGGTGCTGGTGAGCAGCAGTGACTGCTGACTTACTAATGCTGGTGAGCAGCAGTGACTGCTGACTTACTAATGCTGGTGAGCAGCAGTGAGTGCTGACTTAGTGGTGCTGGTGAGCAGCAGTGACTGCTGACTTACTAGTGCTGGTGAGCAGCAGTGACTGCTGACTTACTGATGCTGGTGAGCAGCAGTGACTGCTGACTTACTGCTGCTGGTGAGCAGCAGTGACTGCTGACTTACTGCAGCTGGAATCAGAGGTCTGAGTGAGCTCACTGCCCTGGAAACAGAAGTAGCAGATACAGTAGTTCAACTTACCTGACAAGTCGAGGTCAGCCCGCGTGTGTTGCCTGGGCGGCTGGCGGAGCAGGGTGAGGGGTACCAAGCCTTCATGGTCGTGGGCGTGGGAAAGCCTGACGTAAGCCCACTCGGTAGGATCACGAGTGTGTGTATGTATGGAGGGTATCTCCAACAACTCCACCTGCTGACCCCGGGTCACAGTGAGCTCTCCAGACCCTGACCCACACCAGTCCTCCAACACCCACGTCACCTCCCCGCCTCCCTGCAACACAAACACATATATTGTTAGTCAACAGGTTGTCTACAACCTAATTACACACTGGAAAACACACACACACACACATATATATATATATATATATATATATATATATATATATATATATATATATATATATATATATGTCGTGCCGAATATGTAAAACTGGTCAATAAGCAAGAACTCATTTAAAATTAAGTCCTTTCTGAAATTTTCTCTTACACGTTTAAAGATATATTTTTTTCATTATTGTTAATGCAAAAATTTTTTAATTTTGCACCAAAAGAATCTTAGAAAACTTACCTAACCTTATTATAACAAGAGTAATTTATTTTAGCCTAACCCAACTAAGTATATTTTAAATACGTTTACAATAATTTAGTACTAAACAAACACTATCAAATATATTTTTTTCGTTAGGTTCAGAATAATTTTGGCGAAATTATTGCATACACAAATTTTCACTTGTCCTATATGGCAAGATGAGCGTTGCTATTTAAGCCAAGATGGCAAGTTCTGCCTATTCGGCACGACATTATATATATATATATATATATATATATATATATATATATATATATATATATATATATATATATATATATATATATATATATATATATATATATAATATTAATATTATTATTAACACATCGGTCGTCTCCCACCAAGGCAGGGTGGCCCGAAAAAGAAAAACTTTCATCATTCACTCCATCACTGTCTTGCCAGAGGCATGCATACACTGGAGCTAAAAAACTTCAACATTAACACCCGTCCTTCAGAGTGCAGACACTGTACTTCCCATCTCCAGGACTCAAGTCCGGCCTGCCAGTTTCCCTGAATCCCTTCATAAATGTTACCTTGCTCACACTCCAACAGCACGCCAACTCCTAAAAATCATGTCTCCATTCGCTCCAAAGACGCTCACGCATGCTGGCTTGACGTCCAAGCCCCTCGCACATAAAACCTTCTATACCCCCTCCCTCCAACTTTTCCTAGGCCGATCTACATATAAAGTGAATTTCCCTTACACCTGTTTAAAGGGCCTAGTTTTTAAACCTTTGTTTGGCCATAAATATTTGCACTACCGTCCACACAATACTTTCTGTGATCATAAAGTACTACCATGCTCGGTCACAACACTTTATTAATCTTCCAAACTATTGCGTGCGTGCGTGTGTGTGTGTGTGTGTGTGTGTGTGTGTGTGTGTGTGTGTGTGTGTGTGTGTGTGTGGTGTGTTGTGTGTGTGTGTGTGTGTGTGTGTGTGTGTGTTGTGTATGTGTTTTGTGTGTGTGTGTGTGTATGTATGTGTGTGTGTGTGTGTGTGTGTGTGTGTGTGTGTGTGTGTGTGTGTGTATGTGTGTGTGTGTGTGTGTATGTGTGTGTGTGTGTGTGTGTGTGTGTGTGTGTGTGTGTGTGTGTGTATGTGTGTGTGTGTGTATGTGTGTGTGTGTGTATGTGTGTGTGTGTGTGTGTGTGTGTGTATGTGTATGTGTATGTGTATGTGTATGTGTATGTGTATGTGTGTGTGTGTGTGTGTGTGTGTGTGTGTGTGTGTGTGTGTGTGTATAAAATTACTAAGAAAGAAAATCATAATACCCTTGGCTTGATTCAATCCTCATTATCATATAAATCTCCGCCACATTAAACCAGCCAGTCAGGACCCAACGATCTATTGCTGTTTATACGTCACTCATAATCCTCGTAAATTCTTGTAATCCTTTATAATCCTCTCCCTCGCCGGTGACCAGCTTATCACATGCATGGAGTCAGGATGGGGTGGTTGGGGAAAGTCTGTCCATGAACCATTCGTAAACCATGGTAAGGAATCGAAGGTTCAAGTTTACACAAACAAGGCAATAATAAGATAAACAACTTATTTCAGAGTGTGATCTTCCCAGTTATAAGAATTAACTAAGAACCAGTGGTCAGTGGTGGTAGTAGTGTGACCAAGAACCAGTGGTCAGTGAGAGTAGTGTGACCAAGAACCAGTGGTCAGTGGTGGTAGTAGTGTGACCAAGAACCAGTGGTCAGTGGTAGTAGTGTGACCAAGAACCAGTGGTCAGTGGTAGTAGTGTGACCAAGAACCAGTGGTCAGTGAGAGTAGTGTGAAAAAGAACCAGTGGTCAGTGAGAGTAGTGTGGCCAAGAACCAGTGGTCAGTGAGAGTAGTGTGACCAAGAACCAGTGGTCAGTGAGAGTAGTGTGACCAAGAACCAGTGGTCAGTGGTAGTGTGACCAAGAACCAGTGGTCAGTGGTAGTAGTGTGAACAAGAACCAGTGGTCAGTGAGAGTAGTGTGACCAAGAACCAGTGGTCAGTGGTGGTAGTAGTGTGACCAAGAACCAGTGGTCAGTGGTGGTAGTAGTGTGACCAAGAACCAGTGGTCAGTGGTGGTAGTAGTGTGACCAAGAACCAGTGGTCAGTGGTGGTAGTAGTGTGACCAAGAACCAGTGGTCAGTGAGAGTAGTGTGACCAAGAACCAGTGGTCAGTGAGAGTAGTGTGACCAAGAACCAGTGGTCAGTGGTGGTAGTAGTGTGACCAAGAACCAGTGGTCAGTGGTGGTAGTAGTGTGACCAAGAACCAGTGGTCAGTGGTAGTAGTGTGACCAAGAACCAGTGGTCAGTGAGAGTAGTGTGACCAAGAACCAGTGGTCAGTGATAGTAGTGTGACCAAGAACCAGTGGTCAGTGGTGGTAGTAGTGTGACCAAGAACCAGTGGTCAGTGGTAGTAGTGTGACCAAGAACCAGTGGTCAGTGAGAGTAGTGTGACCAAGAACCAGTGGTCAGTGGTGGTAGTAGTGTGACCAAGAACCAGTGGTGGTTCAGTGGTGGTAGTAGTGTGACCAAGAACCAGTGGTCAGTGGTGGTAGTAGTGTGACCAAGAACCAGTGGTCAGTGGTGGTAGTAGTGTGACCAAGAACCAGTGGTCAGTGAGAGTAGTGTGACCAAGAACCAGTGGTCAGTGGTGGTAGTAGTGTGACCAAGAACCAGTGGTCATGTGAGAAGTAGTGTTGACCAAGAACCAGTGGTCAGTGGTGGTAGTAGTGTGACCAAGAACCAGTGGTCAGTGAGAGTAGTGTGACCAAGAACCAGTGGTCAGTGGTGGTAGTGTGACCGAGAACCAGTGGTCAGTGGTAGTAGTGTGACCAAGAACCAGTGGTCAGTGGTGGTAGTAGTGTGACCAAGAACCAGTGGTCAGTGGTAGTGTGACCAAGAACCAGTGGTCAGTGGTAGTAGTGTGACCAAGAACCAGTGGTCAGTGGTGGTAGTAGTGTGACCAAGAACCAGTGGTCAGTGGTGGTAGTAGGGTGACCAAGAACCAGTGGTCAGTGGTGGTAGTAGTGTGACCAAGAACCAGTGGTCAGTGAAAGTAGTGTGACCAAGAACCAGTGGTCAGTGGTGGTAGTAGTGTGACCAAGAACCAGTGGTCAGTGAGAGTAGTGTGACCAAGAACCAGTGGTCAGTGAGAGTAGTGTGACCAAGAACCAGTGGTCAGTGGTGGTAGTAGTGTGACCAAGAACCAGTGGTCAGTGGTAGTAGTGTGACCAAGAACCAGTGGTCAGTGAGAGTAGTGTGACCAAGAACCAGTGGTCAGAGAGAGTAGTGTGACCAAGAACCAGTGGTCAGTGATAGTGTGACCAAGAACCAGTGGTCAGTGAGAGTAGTGTGACCAAGAACCAGTGGTCAGTGGTGGTAGTAGTGTAACCAAGAACCAGTGGTCAGTGGTAGTAGTGTGACCAAGAACCAGTGGTCAGTGGTGGTAGTAGTGTGACCAAGAACCAGTGGTCAGTGGTGGTAGTAGTGTGACCAAGAACCAGTGGTCAGTGAGAGTAGTGTGACCAAGAACCAGTGGTCAGTGGTAGTGTGACCAAGAACCAGTGGTCAGTGGTGGTAGTAGTGTGACCAAGAACCAGTGGTCAGTGGTGGTAGTAGTGTGACCAAGAACCAGTGGTCAGTGGTAGTGTGACCAAGAACCAGTGGTCAGTGGTAGTAGTGTGACCAAGAACCAGTGGTCAGTGGTGGTAGTAGTGTGACCAAGAACCAGTGGTCAGTGAGAGTAGTGTGACCAAGAACCAGTGGTCAGTGGTGGTAGTAGTGTGACCAAGAACCAGTGGTCAGTGGTAGTAGTGTGACCAAGAACCAGTGGTCAGTGAGAGTAGTGTGACCAAGAACCAGTGGTCAGTGAGAGTAGTGTGACCAAGAACCAGTGGTCAGTGGTAGTGTGACCAAGAACCAGTGGTCAGTGGTAGTAGTGTGACCAAGAACCAGTGGTCAGTGGTGGTAGTAGTGTGACCAAGAACCAGTGGTCAGTGGTGGTAGTAGTGTGACCAAGAACCAGTGGTCAGTGGTGGTAGTAGTGTGACCAAGAACCAGTGGTCAGTGAGAGTAGTGTGACCAAGAACCAGTGGTCAGTGAGAGCAGTGTGACCAAGAACCAGTGGTCAGTGGTGGTAGTAGTGTGACCAAGAACCAGTGGTCAGTGAGAGTAGTGTGACCAAGAACCAGTGGTCAGTGGTGGTAGTAGTGTGACCAAGAACCAGTGGTCAGTGGTAGTAGTGTGACCAAGAACCAGTGGTCAGTGAGAGTAGTGTGACCAAGAACCAGTGGTCAGTGAGAGTAGTGTGACCAAGAACCAGTGGTCAGTGGTAGTGTGACCAAGAACCAGTGGTCAGTGGTGGTAGTAGTGTGACCAAGAACCAGTGGTCAGTGGTGGTAGTAGTGTGACCAAGAACCAGTGGTCAGTGGTAGTAGTGTGACCAAGAACCAGTGGTCAGTGGTAGTAGTGTGACCAAGAACCAGTGGTCAGTGGTGGTAGTAGTGTGACCAAGAACCAGTGGTCAGTGGTGGTAGTAGTGTGACCAAGAACCAGTGGTCAGTGAGAGTAGTGTGACCAAGAACCAGTGGTCAGTGAGAGTAGTGTGACCAAGAACCAGTGGTCAGTGGTGGTAGTAGTGTGACCAAGAACCAGTGGTCAGTGAGAGTAGTGTGACCAAGAACCAGT